GGAATAGTCTTCCTGCTATTGTAGTGGAAGCTAAAACCATGGGTTCCTTTAAATCAGAGCTAGATAAGATTTTAACAACTCTGAGATATTAGCTAAGTTCTCCCCAAACGAGCTTGATGGGCCGAATGGCCTCCTCTCGTTTGTAAATTTCTTATGTTCTTATGTTCTTAACACTAAGGTTTAGCTGCAAAAGCCTGTAACTTACCCAAAATGATTAACTCATGTCTCAAAAGCAAATAATTCCACCAATGAATTAGTCAGTGACACCAAAATGAAAAGTACAACCTGCATCATTTTAATTGTGAAAGTCAAAATGCTTAGATATATTGTCAATATTTCAGTGTAAGTATGTCAGTGTAAGTATGTCAGTGTAAGTCTGCTCCTGAGCTCCACAATTCTGAATGATAGTCGGTTTACACTTTCTCATTGTCACTGACTGATCATTCTTCTTTAGGAAACTGATACTTATTGATGTCAAAGATACCCATTTCAACTTTCTTAAGCTCCATATTACAGTATGTAAAATTCCCTGCTGACAGAAAGCACTCACCTGTATTTTTCAGATCTCAAGACAGTAAAATACCAAACAAAAAGTCGCACATAGTTTTGGGTGTAAAATTATTACAATGGGAAACTACATAATCCATTTTTACCAACAAGATCAAAGTAACTGAAAATTGTGCTATATGATGACAATTGTACAAAACCATTTGCATAAAGAGTTGAAACCAGAAGATTACATACACTGTATAAAAAGACCCATAACCTTTTTTTTTCTCACTGTCTGACATATAATCAGACAAAACTTTTCCTGTTTTAGGTCAGTTAAGAATAATGAGAGAGAACATTTTTAGAAAAATGTATATTACTTTTTTCTAAGTCAAAAGTTTACAACTGAAATCTCACTAAATCGAATTTCTCTGAGTCGGACTAAGACACCCAGATAATGCGACTGGGAGTCATTTTACTCCTGCATGTGTACCTTCAATTGGACTCAAACTGGCCTAGGCACTCAGCACATGCTCCCCAGTTTCCCCCTTGAGCTTGGACCTGGAATTAACAGAAGAACCCAGTACTCAGAAGAAGCTTGGAGCACAGCAGCATGTATGAAATGTACAGCACTGTAAAGCTGTCCAATTCACCACTCAACTAAAGGGTGCTTTTCCTCTGCACCAGGTACCATAATTTTGGTACTTCAGGAAGGTGTTGATTTTACACTGGCCTAAGAATTGGTACCGGCGCCAAATGACATCACAACGTGAGGTGGGGTATTTTGTACTGAATTCGAGAAATGGCTGTAGTAGGACTGAACGATGTGCTATTACTATCAACATTGCATGTTATTAAGCACATCCAATTCAGAAAATGTTCTGCATGTTGTTGCAGAACATGTGAAACAGGTTTCCCAAGTGTACACTCTGTACATGATTTACAGCCATTCTTGGGAAATTTTCCAAAGCTCTCCATTGAAGTAGATCATGCTTCATGCTAGGCATGTTCTGAATGAACTTGTTTCCTCCAGCTTTACATGTGGGTCTTGGCATTGGTCCACATGCATCACCAGGTGCTTAGCTTAAAGAACTAGATAACGCATATGGCAATGTAATGACTCTCTTTGCCTTAACACATACTCAATCAAGGATTGATAAAATTGGACACAAACCTTCACAGAAAGCAAAGCCCACAAATACCATCTCTTCATCCACTATGCCTACTGAGAGTCGTGGAAAGATAAACAAGTTCTGCGGAGATGACTCAAACATGCTGTCACAGTGTACCAATCAAGCTAATGCAGTCTGGATGCAGAGGAAGTTGTATGAGAGGCAGCGAAGTAAACCGAGCCGCCAACAAACATCCTCATTTTATTCAAGTTATCTGTCCCACTGAGAGCTGTTTTCCATTAAGATCACTTAGGTCTCATACCTCAATGCCCTTTCTTATTGTCCATAGTGTAAAAATAAGTTTACATGCCCTGCAATGGACTGACATCCCATCCAGAGGCAACCTCAGACTTTTGCCCTGAGGTGCCTGTGGTGTAACTTCAGGTTCTCGTCCCTGACCATGATCAGTGTTTTGAAGATAGAACGAATAGATGGAAGTTCACCCCGTGATGTGTAGTGAGAAGAGAAAGTGCATGGCTGTCTCACAAAGGTCAGTGTCCGCAACAAGTCATGTTACTCCCTCTTTTAAGATCAGTCCTGTTCTAACACGATTGATATATTGGCACCAAAGTCTAATACAACATAGAATCGCATTGTCAGGGTCAGCACCCATCTGTCCAAGCCTTTCATGTCTCCTCCCCGTTTGGCCAGCAGATGTCGCTGGCCATCCTGTCCTCCCCCGTTGTCGAAGTCTTCAGTGTGTTTCCCCTGCTTTTCAAATGGCCACATGGCTCAATAAGCTGAGTGTGTGGCTACCTGTAGACCCACCAGTCATGTGTTCAAATCTTCCTCTCTTTTTGTATTTCTCTACACTTTTTTTAGCCAGTGACTCCACTCTTCTCTGTACCTCTTAGTGATTCTGCGCCAAATGAACAGCTCCATTCCAGACCTCTAGATCAGTGGTTTTCAACCTGTGGGCGACGGTATTGCAGAGGGGCCGCCAATTATTATTAATAGAAATTGCAATATTGTTAATATAATAAAAAATGTCTAGTCAAAATCAAATAAATCATAATTTGATATATAATTAAATAGAGAAATTAAATAATAAACCGTTACTATGCGTTCACTATTCGAGCTCGCTGATTGGTTTAATAACAACCCGCCAACTTAGACTATCTAAAATACTTTTGATTCATACATGCTGAAGCAGATTTAAAAATGGATAAATGGTTGACAACAGGATCGCTGAAAAGAAAAAATACAGACGTTTCTTCAGCAACAAGTAAGCCTGACACTGAAAAGCCTCAAAATAAACCTAAACGAAGAAAATATAGTAGCGACTACCTAGCGCTGGGTTTCACATATGTTGGAGCAGAGAACGAGCAGCTACCACTCTGTGTTGTGTGCTCAGAAATACTGTGAAATGAAGCTTTTTTTTTTGCCTGCTCTCGATTTGCGCTTGTCACTCGAGTCTGACTCTAGTCTTGCTTTGTCCAGTGCTCCATTTCTCTGCCGGTTTTGACTGCTCGTTTCAACCCAGCTCTGCCTGTTCCCTCTGACGGCTCTTCGGCTCGCTGACGTTCTACCCGCTGCCGACCTCTGCCTGGATTTCGTTTTCCCGTTTTCGAAATGTCAACCCGAGCCTGTGGGGGTTTGCTGATCCGTTATGTATATTTTCTGTTTATTCAATACATTACCAGTTTATTCAATAAAGACAATTAACAGCCTTGCTTCCGAGTACTTAGTTAACCCGACACAAAAAGCGGGATCGTTTAAATTCTTTTGCAGTGGGTCGCGGAAACATATGTGTTTGGCTGTGTGGGCCGTGAGTTAAAAAAGGTTGGGAACCACTGCTCTAGATAACACCACATGCTTTATTAATAACACTGGTCGAGATGATTTTGTTTCCCTTCAACATTTTTTGTGCACCAGATAGATTTTGTGATGCTGATCACAGAAATAACTTTGAAATCTTCCCAGTGGGCAAACTAATTTTCTAATAGTGGGGAGGCAGTGTTAGAATCGGAGTGGTTTGCATAGTAATGGGTATTCCAGTTTACATGCCTGGCAGTAGTAGGTCAGAATGATTGTATTTTTTAATAACTGATGTAATTTATACTAGAGACTCACTTAGATCAAATTCTTCATGGAAATCTGTCTCATCATATGTACTTGGGCACGTTCACGTTGGGCAAACTACGTCGGACAGGTTGAAAGTCTGCTCCAGGCATTCAAATCAATGAACTGCAACATGTCACTGAAGTTGCACTTTCTCCATTCTCACTGGGATTTCTTCCCAGCCGACCTCGGTGCAGTCAGTGACGAACATGGAGAAAGGTTTCACCAAGAAATTGCAAACATGGAGAAACGTTACCAGGTAAAGTGTAGTCCGTCTATGCTGGGGGACTGTTGTTGGACACTGATATGTGAAGCCCCGGAGAGTGACTACAAACGAAAATCTGCATCAAAACATTTCTAATCTTCTCTTGTGTTGCTTACGTTGCAATATCATAGCATAGACCTATGCCACTGAAGACGTTATAATGTTAAATGCATAATTGCAGTTTTCCTTAAAACCCTACCTGATTCAAAAACTTCAAATACATATTTGTATTCAGCACATTAACATCTATTGGTTTCACCCAAAATTATGGAACAAAAAATTTCCTAAAATTTGTTGGCCAGTGTAATTAATAATGTTTTTCAGTTAAATGATAGGAATCCCTTTGTATAATTAATGGATATCAATCATTTATTTTTAAGTAAATGAAGTTTTATATACTGTAGACAAACTACAAAGCAAGTAATACTTTCGTCTTCCAAATGATTTTGTACCTCTATGGAAGTGAATGGTGACAGTTCCACCTTCTGAGTCACTTCGATCAAATACATCGATTGTAACACACACAGTATGTGTGTGGAGGTTGGGCGAACCCAGGAACCCACAGTGCAACAATATGACTCTTACTGTTACCAGCTGAATGCGTGTTTAAAGTGTTTATTTATTTTTTTTGAATGAAAGCTGTCGTGATCTGGAATCCCATCCAGCTTGTCCCCCACCATTGTGCCCTGAGATTCCTGCGATAGCCTCAAGAGTCACGGCAACCTTGCACAGGAAAAACAGTTATGAAAAATAGATGGATACAAAGCATATATTGCTGTGGGAAAAATTCTTGTGCCAGACATGTACAAGACACTCAACAATACTGAAAATTGCAACCTATGTTTTATCTTAATGTTTCATGATGAAACACACTGGATTTTTGTTTGTGGTAGATGTAACTATTTGATGTAGGGTGTCTTGTGTCCATTCATTTAGAAAGCAATCAGGAATCTAGAATGCATAATTATTGTGCAGCACTATACAACAACTAGAAGCTGTTAGTATATTCCCACCTACATGCTAAGCTTTATAAGGCTAAACTTCAGGCTATTCTGAATAAAGATTTGGTGGACAAAATTTCAATTTCTGTCATGCATGTCTCCACGATTCTCTCTTTTGTTATTGTTTGTGGCTTTGGTGATTACAAAACAATTAAATTCACATAGAATGTTAAGGTACCACAGAAAACAAAGTGGTGCTAAGGCTGTGTGCGTTACAAGCGCAGAATTATGACCGTGGAAGCAAACAGCAGGTGGAAGCAAATAGCAGATAAGATATCGGTCAGTGTGAGCTGATGGTGTCACAGGCCGCCCTCAGAGCTTTGGATATTCACTTCCACATGCCCATACACCTGTCTCAGAGCGGCACAATCAAGACTGGCAATTAGCCAGGCTGGGCCAGGCCTCCAAGGGCTGAAGGGCTCTGTCCAGGTCAGGGAAGAGTTGGGAGGGATCACACTGCAACAGAACCGCGTAGGAGTTAGCGCTTATTTGGATGTACTTGGTAGGTATAGTCCAGACTTGGTTTAAAAGTTAAATGTGCAGTATGGACTAGCTATTGATTATTTGGTATTATTTGAGTCAAGCAGCTTGCTTAAGGGTAGAACAGCAATTTCCAGACAAAGGAATGGTCAAAATTCTAGCTTGTTCCAGAGCGGTACTGGTTTCATGGCTGTGGTTTACCTGTAATGTTTGCTTTTAGCCTTCATCAAGCCTGGCCCTTCCACACGCAAGGACACATTCTCCAGATTGTACTTGAAGGGGTTGGTGAACTCCACTGTGACAAAACTTTCTCCACTGACCTTTGACGACCCACTGACCTGCAAGGAAGTAAGTGAAATGTCAGGTGACTTCAAGAAACTGGTGACTTGGAACCCTGAAATTCTGTCAAAACTATCTAGAAACATGGCAGGGACATTTATAACAATACTGATAACACTATACTTGATGGGGCACAAATATAGTATTATGCTATTCCTTATGTACTAATTAACCGCAAGCTAAGTCTTAAGTTATATACTGATCTCAAGTTAATTCATCATTAACGAATTGAGACATGTTTTATCTCAAGCGGTTACTATATTTGTTACTATATCTTAATTCTATAAACCTTTGTGAACTACTGAAGGAACTACTAATGAAATACTGAAGGAAAAAGTAATGAATAACAAGTGAAATACTGATCTCATGTTTGTCCATTAATGAATGGTGATGCACCTTTTATCTCAACTATCTCTGATCATGTTTTGTTCATTACTTGTACTTCAGTAGTAGCTGAGGTATCACTAAGTATTTGTGGTCCATCAAGTAAAGTGTGAACACAACAAGTAGTGGACTCACCTTGACAGAGAGTTTAGGGGTGTGAAGGGCAACCACCTGCATGGCGCTGATGATTTGGCCGGTCTCAGAAATACGCCCTGTGATGATGAAGTTGAGGTTGGCCTGCTCCACCAGTTTGCTTAAGTACTCTTTGGAACTCACATCCAGTGTCACCTTTTTGTCTGAAATGTGAAGAGCGACACACTTGGCGATGCTACCTAAAGCCTAGCTGCAACCTAGCATGGGTCACTGTTTTTTTTTTCTTTTTTTCCTTGTGTAGCAACGACACTTGCAAATGCAGATCTCAAGGTGAGAATGTTATACACAGAGTTTCCCATTCACAGATTAAACAAAACCTCTAACTCGCATTTTGCCAGATTTCTACATAACGAATAATTTAAATTTAAAGCAGAATTAAAATCATGCATATTCTTAGAGAAATATTTCCATTTCATTAATGCCACTGTGGCCTTTCAAAGTCAAGAGAGGAAGAACTGTTATACGGAGATGGTTCCAACTCACATTCAAAGGGCTCCAGTTTCACCTTTTGGGTCTTGAACTTGAATTCAGAACTGGTGACACCAGTGTAGTAGACTATATTCCCACTGATGTACACGCTGGCTGTACGTTTCAACTCACTCAAGTTCTTGAACTCGAGGCCGAGCTGAAAATCGTTGCCCACCATCACATCCTGCACGGTGATCCTCAGCTCTACGTCAGCGGGTGGCAGTGTGGATTGCACCCGGCTACATCCAAACTCTTCTGCCTTTTCCAGCACCGTTCGCTCCTCCTCTGTGCCTGTGTGACCATACTAACAGTTAACAGGGTCATCATAATGCGGAGACTTAATGCAGGAAGTCACAGGGTTCATCTTGGGTTACTTGATTGTTTTGTATGTCTTTGAATGAACTATTTTAACCCAGCTAAAAAAAATGTAATTGTGCAACCACAACAAAATTGGGCAATTGTGTCAGCGTCAAATGACGAATTATACTCAGCGATTGACATAACTGGTACGCAAGTACCAGCATCCATTCTTCCATCTCCGCATTCACCTTTAAAAGTGATACTGTACGTGCGGAAATTGTTGTAACACCGTGAATGCGTACGTATATTGCATGTTAACCTTTATATGCTAATTCGTACTTCATTTGCGGTATGGAGGTTAAAATGCACGAAAATTTCTTGTCAAATCGGCGCAAATGCACATAAAATACGTACGTATTAACGCTGTTACAATAATCGATTGCCGCACGTATCGCTTTTAAAGGTGAATGCGGAGATGGAAGAATGGACGCTGGTACTTTTTTCTTTAAGAAAGATATTTTAAATGACTAAATATTATTTCTACAATATAATCATCATTACATCAAAGACAGAATGTGGTGGAACGTGCAGATGCAGCGGCCACTCGGGGTTTAACAACCAGCGCTAAATGTTTCGTTATAGTTTTTTCTTAGCTAGTCATTAAGCACCTGGAAACATGTATACGACCACAAGACGGCAATTGCACCCCCTACTGGTCAGATGAAAATCCTCTTTGAACATATTAAGTTCCATAAAATTAAATAACATTGTTTTATTTGGAAATGTGGCTTGTGTTAGTCATTTCAATGTGAAATAAGTTGTTGTAAAGGTATTTATTTGTTTATTACACATTTGTTTATTTAGATGAATGACTGGTTATACACACCTCACTGGCACTGGTCACTTAAATCAAATAGGCTTTTATTGTCAGTTCCCCATATGTTCCTAACATACAGGGGAATCGAAATGCTGTTCCTCTCTCGTCTTTATAATACAGTATAAAAAAAGGGTTAATGAAAATTAATCATTGTGTTCAGCTCCTTTGTTTCATAGCATCTTGAAGCTCTTGAACTTTAAATATCGTGTAACTTGCTGATAGTGTGTTACACCCTGGTCCTGGGGAATGTTATTTTGTGCCACTGTGTACTTGTGCTATCACAATAAAGCCCATTTGACTTAATTTGATATACCATACTCAAGAATGCAAATTGACTTGATATACCATACTCAGGCAACCTATAAGTGTCTAGATTAAGTTGAGTGAGAAGTTATACCTTCTGGAAATTTGTACTGGCTTGTAATATCCCTTGACTTGTCGCTACCAATCTCCTTGGTCAGCACCAAGCGGCCCACATGGGTCTTGTCCACCTTGACTTGTTCAAGAGTACCATTCTTGTTCCGCTTATAGAACACCACATCACTGTTCACCTGGAGGGATAGGTTGAGGAATCCATGATGTGTATAAATTTATGAGAGAAACTACATTTTCCACTTGAGGTCTAAAACTACATTATAATTCCCTTATGTACTATTAACTGACATCATATAGATAATCTGTCATATGAAATTTAAGCTTTTATAGGAAAATATTTTTTTGTAGTTTGTAGAATATAATGTCTCTTGCTAGTTTTGGGAAACAAAAAAAAAATCAAGACAAAGGAGAGTTAAAGTGATTTACCTCTGCAAAAACAAAAGGTGCATCAAAAGGATAGCAGACCTGCCCATGTTTGATGGCATAGACAGAAGCAGGGCCACACCGATACAAACCTGAAGGAAAGCAACAATAATGAAAGACAGCCCACCAACCTAAAAAATGCTGAAGTCTGAATACAACGGCTTCTGAAGTTCTAACCTTTTATGCAATGTGGATATTTGGGGTAGGAGGTTAGTAGACAAGCTAATTATGCAGAACGATAAGGTTCAAACATCCAAAAACAACCTTTTATCAAAAGGAGAGCCTATCAAACAATGCAAAAAGGAATGAAATAACCCACTGTAAAAAAAATAAAAATCTAATAAATACAAATCACAGCACGACCTGCAGCTGCTTACCACAGCAGGAGTATACTTACTCATAGTATACTATGGAGTATACAGCAGGAGTATAGTTACTCAGTAGATTCTTTATTGCCAAGAAATCAAAGCTGAGTGTGGGAATATCAATAGGCTACCAAACGAACAGCATTCGGAGACATTCCTGTTGCAAGCCAGCACTCACCATCACTGGTTTCTTGGGGGGTGGCATCCACTACCTGCCAGCCACCAAAGCCTTGGGGCAGGTCTGGCCTGGCCATGTAGCATTCATTCCAGCAGTGATAATTCCTGCAATCGTGAATCATTTCAGTTTCAGTAAACTCACCCTCAAACAGCAACAGAGATGTACGTATGAGTGATCTTAGCATGAAGTTCTCTCCTGTTTGAAAACTGAAATTTCATACACATCGACCCTTGTGGATTGTTGAGGGATTCTCTCTCTATACATATATTCATCCATGTGTAATAAGGTGATTAATCAGACCATAGTACTTCACCCATTGCTCAAGATTCCAGGAGCTGTGTTCCTTATACTAATGTGTCCTTGTGTACTTGCCGTCCATACAGGGCGTTTCCTCACTGCCATGAATTCCATGCTTTGTGAAGCTTATAATAATCATGTTTTTTTAAGATCGGGTCACAGAGATGCGGATTCATTTTCTGAGGCCACGCTTTGTGGTATTTAGTTATAACCCTGTTAAGTGCTTGTCGATGAGCTTTGGCTTGTCACCTCCGGTTCTTTTCAATGCAGCTTGTGTATGTTGTGAATGGCAATTGATATTTTGACTATGGTATTTTGGTATTCCAGTTTCATTCGGTTTTCCACTTTCAGTACATTATTCAGTAAATTGAGATATTCAGTAATTCAGTTCATTATAAAGTAGGCTTTGTGTTAATGATGTTGCCCAACTGTAGGCTAATGTAAGTGTTCTAAGCATGTTTAAGGTAGACTAGGCTGGGCTATGACGCATGCCAGGTCTGGTGTACTGTATTTAAATGCATTTTCACTTTATTTACACCATGCAGTAGGTTTATCGGAACATAACCCCATCATGTATCGTCTGTATAAAAGCACACAATCGTTCAGCTGAATCACTTTTACAGTCAAGACTGACCAGATGGAATCTTTGGTGCGTTCCTTGTCCACCTGCCCATCCTCATCCACGATGAGATCAGTTTTCAAGTTGCCGTTGTTATCGTGGGCGGAGTAGAAGTTGGTGACCACCCTGGCAGGGATACCTAGGCACCGCAGAACTGAAAAAATGGGGCAGAAGCACGTAAGGCCACATCAAAGAGCTGCAGGCTCAAACCCCTGGATGGACGCTGTTTCTGTGCCCTTAAGAAAGGTGCTTACATTGCAGAAATGGCATTTCAGTAAAAGTCAGTATGTGGATGTTAAAAATAATATTGAAAGCTAAATTTCAGGGAAGAGAGCATATTTCAGGCCTCTGAAGAGCAAACTCACATGTGTTGAACACAGCAGCATAGACCCAGCACTGCGCATAGCAGACAGGCATGCCACTGTTGGCGTAGTTGAGGAGGATTTCCACGCTGCCAGTCCAGGCCGTGGGAGCTACACCGTAAGTGTAATCTCCGCTCCAGTTCCCCACTAGGACCCCATCATCATCCCTGGAGTTCATCTTGGGTCCATAGACATCCAACAGGAAGCAAGTTGATACAAAAAAGAATCACAGACATAGGTTTAACAACCACAAGTGTCGACAGATCATGTATATATAAAGGGAAATATGAGATATTGACGTCACATGTCACATGGTCTTTTTATTGTTTCATCTAAGAATGAAATTCACCAGTGATCATTACTGTTGGTCCTGGACGAGATTTATGCAACATTCGGAAGTGACGGGTGATTTTTCATGTTTGTTGGGGCCCCATGAACAGGGGACTAACACTTCACAGTATACTGGTCCTTGGGACATGCATTGAACCCAGGTCACTGACAACCTCATAGACTAGAAATTGAAAACAAACTTGCTGTTTTCCAATTCAACTTCTCTCCCCAGTCACCTGAATGCATTTTATGCTGAATTTAAGCTTGTAAAAAAGATTCTCAGTGAGAGAATGCACTATAAAGGCATTATGAAGATGCAGTTAATGCAAAGCGTTACCTATTACTCATTGTTTGCATTGTCTACTGATTCTGCTGTTCTTATTGTCTGATTTACTGTTTACTGTTAGTATTTTATGTGCTAGTAACAGGCAGTCTGGCAGGAGGCACCAGAGCATCTCATTGTGCACAGGACAATGAACCTGAGCGTAGCTTACCATAGCTGAGGCCATGCGGGCCACTTTCACTGCATCTCCTCTGTTGATCAGAGGCATGGAAGCCTTGTCCATCACAAAAAGGCAGGCATCCAGAACGCCATACTCAAACTGCAGTCAATGGAGAAGAAAGGGATCAGAGAGGTGACCGTGGCACAAACATGGTATGATAACGGGAAGACAAAGCGCAAGAGAAGTATACACAGTGCAACCAAATGTAAAAAGCACACAGTAGACAAACAGAATACCCTAAAAATAATGCAGGCCTCTTTTTTTTTTCAATCTTCTAATTGGTTAGTATTAGGCTATACATAAAACGTGTGCATTCTACACTTTGACAGAGTTTACCTGGCCATAACTCCAGGGTCGGACTGAAATGTCCTTGACCTCCCCATGGTATAAGACCCCAGTTTCATTCAGGATACATTCCCCGAGTTCTGCCTCGTCATCCAGATAAACAGAGTCAGCTGCAAGAAAAAGACCAGGGGTGAGTATCCCGAAACCTTCGTAACGCTACGTTATTCGTAAGTTCTATGTCAAAGGATAGAACTTACGAACGGCATAGCGTTAAGGCGGCTTCGGGAAACTCACCCTACGTGCATACAGCAAAATGTTAAAAAAGCAAATTAACATGAACTGTAATCAAAGGATTATGCTTCATCCTCATAGCAATTTTACCTCTTATCTATGTTTGTAGTTTAAAATACTATTTTGTCTATTGCTTTTTGCTGTGAATTGTTCAATGTGTTTAAGTTGATATAAGATTCAGATTGTTATTCTAAGAATGGAATATCTGACATTTATTTTAAAATGTCTCCTCCATATACTTTTCAAAATTATACATAAGTCCCGTTTAACCAGACCTGTATTATGGGATCTTATTCTGGCAGATGAATGAATAATTTGTCATTTGAATGAGCCAAAACACCTCATTTTTTCAGCATCGCTAATGAGAAATCATACCTTCTGACCAAGGGTTGAACAAGATGTAAACATCTGAGCTGGGATCCCTCTGTGTCCTACGGATGCCGTAAGGCGTGATGACGGCCACATACACGCGGAACCTTCCCACAATGCAGTCTGGCGTTGCCGTGATGCCCACGGTTACCATGTTGTCCTTGGTTTCCAGGATCCTCCCTCTCCAAGACTGCGGTCTCTCCTCCTCAATGCGGATTGGGATGTATGTGCCCTTGCTGACCTGTGGGTACCTGCCTTAGGGGTAAGAAGAAAAAACAGAATATAAGTTGGTCTGAATCTGGAATCCAGGTCTCTCTATTTTTTGTGTGGTTGTGCTCATTTATGTATCACATACTTAAGAGTATGCGTGAGCTACTCATGAGATAAACCCAGACACACCATATACAGTACCTAATATAAACACAATATTCGCTTTTGAGACATCCAACTAAAGCTAATTGAACACCTTAGATCACCAGCTGTTTGGAAACAGAGCTACTTCATGGGTACTGAGCCATACGAAGGGCTACCAGTCTGTAACGGCCTCCTAAACTTATCTAAACTTCATGCATAATAAACATGTTTTAAATGCTTTTTTTAGATATTGTCATTTTCAAATCTATATAAATGCAAATGTGATTAAAGAAGAATAGTAACAGGATAAAATTAAATATTAGATGCTGCTCACTGGTGAGTTCTGCTATTTTTAGAACAGGTCCGCGGGCAACTCATGTGGTCCTTGGGGGCATCCTGGTGCCCGTGCACCATGTTGGTGACCCCTCCCTCAGACTTGAGGTAATCCAGGGTTTAACACGAACTAGAGTTCAACTGCCATTAGAGTTCAACTCTATTCACCAGGTCACCATTGCCTATGTGACAACATGCTTGACACCAGCCATGGAAGAGAGTCAGACGCCACCTCACCTATGACAAATTCCAGCAGGAACTGGTCTTGTAAGGGGTTGTAGGCCCGGTCAAAGGTGATCCGGATCTGGAACTCTTGGGCCCGGCGCACAATGAGGTTTTCGTTGGCATACAGATCGGTGTGGTGCTGCTTCTTGTTGATGTCATTTAAATTGTTCACATCCCAGATATCCAGGAATTCTTGCAGCATAAGACATTTAGAAAGTTAATTTACTGCTACCTACAGGGATATTGATTTTGCATATTAAAATATAGTGGTCATACCATGAAGATATTCATCATTTTTAACCATACATAAATACATGTTAAATAAGCAATGTTAAATAAGACTTATTATTATGGCCGATGATCACCTTTTATAGGTGATAATTTCATATTGAAATTCAGCTCTTCTCAATTTTTTCCCCAAAATGTGCTATGTCATATTATATGGCCTGAGCAATGAATTATGAGCAAGATCTTTCAATACAGCTACATCCCAACATGTGGGCAGGAAGTGACTCAGTCTGGTGGAACCTCTATCAGTTTATGTCCAGCCTAAGTACTGAGAAGTTCCATACTAGAACACATCTGGGGTCATTTGTGCCCTGATAAAGGGAGGAATGGGGGAGGTAGTGTTTCACTCTGATAAGTCTACCATGCTGGTAAACTGCCGGATAATAGTGCTTTCTCTGTGTGTGGATTTTCTAGGTCCAACAGTAATGTCAGCCACAGGGGCTTGTTGGTAATGTTAATAGATGTAAATACATTCATATATCATTAGACCTTTTTAACAGTAAACATATCTGTTAGCAATAGTAAGAAGGTATTGTTTGTTTTGGGGTGTGACAGTTAGATTGTCATGCTTCCAGATATGTTCTTCTCCAGTATAAAACCACAACACGGAACTCTGGAAGCAGCATGTGACAGCACTCACACTGAGGCTCTCACCTTTCAGGGGAGGGGGGCCACGGGGCATCAGCTGGAAGGGCTCAAACTGCGGGACCTCCCGGTCATCCGTATTGGAGCTGGCCATGGGTAGAGAGCTGCGGCCCCGGTAGGAGACTGGGCCCGGCCGGGGGCTGGGGTCTTGGGTAGCCATGGTGACGGTAGGTACGATGGTGTCTGACAGACTGTTTAACAGGCAAGAGAACCCAAACAGATTCAAAGTCAATATTAACGCCTGTGACGGCCCTGACCCGGGCAAAATGCTTTCCCCGAGCCGTCGTGCAGTCCTGGAAGAAAATGTGCTGCAAAAGGTGGACCCATAGTAACATTCAAGTGATATCAAGGTACTTAGTAAAACATGGTTTTATTGATTAGTTAAATGCATGGATTGAAGTGAAGAACAGTGGCCTGTACTACGAAGCGGGGTTACTGGCTTATCTGGGTAATTTGTCAGATTTAAGGTACCACAGTTTAAATTGACTTCATATTCGTTCACTTATATTTTAACCAGACTACTGACAAGTTACCCCGATGAGCCAGTAACCCCGCTTCGTAGTACAGACCACAGGTTAGTTCTGCAGATGTTTGTCTAACTTACCAGGGAAGGTGCAACCAGCAAAGGAGTCCCATGGGGAAACGTGGATGTTTTATGGGGTACCAAGTAATTGGACTTTTCAATATGGTGCAGGTCAGAAGGGGGTATTTTGTTTGGTGTGTTGACAGGGGATTATGTGGTAAAATAAAATGTTGAATTTTGGTAGTGAAGTAAACTATGTGGATTATTCTTTTAAGAAAAAAAAATGTTACGAGGGTCGTGTTTGTTTAATGTATGGTGAACTGTGTTCCTCACTCTCCCCCTTTTGGGGTTGTGATGGTGCTGGACACCATTATATAGGGAGGTTTGGTTAAGGTATAAGAAAAAAAAAATACTGCCCAGCGTTTATTGTAAAGTGTGCAGATACATCTGTCCTTTTCACCTTTTTGTATGTTGGGTTCTACAAGAAGGCGGCATGGATTTTGTTTTTTGGTAATAACAGAAATGTATTTTTGGAGTCCCGCCTGCTGTCCTCCTGTCTCTTGTGCCCGACCCCATTCTGATGGTGCTCTCGCTCAGGCCATCACAACGCCACAAAATGTGAATGAAAATTCACTCTATTTATACGACTGAAAGTAGCATCTGAAGCAGCAACTGTACTTCAAAGTATAAGTATATTTCAAAGCATTACAAAAACATGCATACTTGAAAGTTGCCCTTCTTTGTGAATACTCTGCAAATTTGTTGCCCATAATATTAGGTGGTTTAAACTTGAGTCAATTTGGTGACCTTATTGAACCTATATTATTCTGCTAATTCTGACTACAGAGAATAATAATAAATACTTTTTAATGTCTTGGAACAGCAGATATAAAACTTTTACAGTTTAAAACTTTTAAACTATTACAGTTGTCTGAAGGCTTTTGAAGGATGCAATATGATTCATGTTATTTAGTACTCTTGAAACGAGTAAACAAAATTTATTGCAAAAATGGTTTTGGGGAGGGTTTGGTGAGGCAATGATCAGCTGCAGATGTTCAGTTATGCTGTTGTATTTTGAAATATGCAGAGAACACAGAGAGACTCTGCACAAACAGAGATTCTGCAGGAACTGAACCCCCAACACATTCTACAAGTTTCCTCTGGGCTCTTCCCACAGTGCAAAGACTGTGTAGTTAGGTGAACCAATGACCCTAAATTGCCCGTAGTGCATTATTGTGCCCTGTGAAGGAGTGAGATCCCATCCAATATACCCCGTCTTGTGCCCTGTGCTTCCTATAATAGGCTCCTGTTTGAGGTTGGATGGATGCATAAACAGCAATGCTTACAGAACAAGCACTTTTGCATTTCAGAATTGGGCACAGTTTAAAAATGTCTTGTGATACCTGAACAGTGAAAGCACTGTTTAAGACTTGTTGTGTTGAGTTGTTGAGCTGGACATCTGGTAAACCTTTCAGAAATATGTACAATATGTAGAAGATTATTTACATAAAATTTGAGACATTTCAAGTCTATTATTGATATACAGAGTAATAAAATGACATTCAAAATTTAATTCCTCTTCATAATGGAATGTATACATTGTTTTTCTAACCATTTAGCAAACCTTGTGCAAACAACTATTTGAATATTACTGTGCATATTTTTTTAAAAGACACAACACAAAATAAAACACAAAAGCAAAACACAAAATAATGTTAGGACAATCATACACACTTACAGACACAAACACATACACAAAAAAAAAAAACTAAACTAAACTTGCATATAAGCATGCAAAAATGTAAAACAAACCAAAAGTTGTGAGATTCGATTGATATTAAAACATTTTTGATGGCCTTAAATATCCAATATATACTGCACAACTGTTGGACACTGAAATTTTAAATTTGGACCGGATTTTCTTTTCCAGTTTGAGATGTGAAAAACAATGACAGCAGATAAAGTACATAGCAGAAAAATAAGTGAGCAGTGAGGCAAAAGTGAGGAGACATTATCTAAAGTCTTGATGAAGTGTGCAGTGACGAGGCATATCACCCCTCTTACCGTCGTAGTGGTCTGTTGGACCCCTGTGGAAATGCTTCCTTTGCTAGTAGTGGCTTCTGCTAGCACTTAAATGCAGAGTGTTTGGGGGGCGGAGAATAGATTGTGGGTGGAGGCTGTGGAGTTTTGGAACTGATCTCTGGTGGCTTCATTGCCCCAATTCCCAGAGAGAAGAGATGCATGGAGCAGTGACAAAATATGACCTCTGCATGGAATGTGGCACCTCTGCTAGATGAATGAGGCACTGCAGGAACGCTTGGTAGTCATGCTCACCCCGAACCTCCTGGCCAGGTGGGGGACTGAATCTGGCAATGTGATTCTCCTATGGGGTCTTCCTTCTGTCCAAAATCAGCAATTTGACTTTGTCTTGTTTCCTTGCCTCGACTTATATGTGGATGTACTGTTGCACTTCCCATTTTTTTATTCATGTTTGATACATTGTGTGTCCCTGTAAAAAATTAAGGAGCACAAGATTTTACATAAGTTGACACAATAGAGCTGCTAACAGTTTTTTTGCAACCATAAATGGAGATAATGTTAATATATGCTTGAATGGCTTTGTGTTACTGTCAGATACTAAAGTCTCAGTCCTTAAAAATATGACAACTGTGGTTTATGGTTAAACAACATATATGTAAGTCTTACAGTCTCACAATCTCATTGTTCTCCTGTTCTTTTAATCAGTTATTTAAAGTAAATTGTAGTGTTTTCGAACTGGCTGTTGTATGGGCTAGTGCACTAAACCCCAGTGCTGCTAGCGCATTTGAACGATATTTGCACATTCTGTTTGTTATTCATTCACTGACTGTGTAATATATGCTTGTTTAGTGTTTCCCTTGATGTCTATAAAGTTACAATTAGTTCTTCTCATAGTTAACTTGACCACTTGACCCGAAAAATAAATAGCCCTCAGACATTCCATGAGATTCAGATCACCTTTGGTCACCAATAACTGAGTCATGGATAGAAAATAGGTACTCTGTCTGCCTGGCACGCTGGCTGTGGGCATTTTGGGCCCTTGCATGTTAGACTGGCTAGTCATTTACCCAAAAGATGGGATTGGTTGCAAATGTCTATTTGCTCATCCTGTTTGTTGCCATGTTGTTGCCACATCTGGCCCATTGGTTGTCTTCATCTAATGTAAATTACACTCGTTTTCTGAACAATTGTATGTCGTCGAACTTTTAGCAATAAGGTTAAATATTATTTAGGTCTTAGTTTTAGTTTACATTTTTATCAAAAGTGGTTTACAGATTTTACCCATTTTACGGTAGCCAAGTTACAAAAGGCCCCACCTGGGACTTAATACTTCAGATTACCAGCCCATGTCCTTGATCACTAGACTTCTTGCTAGGAACTGCTGTTTAACCATGTAGTCCATGTATTTCTTCAGTCCCACAGCATTTATTAAAGCCCATCACTTTGGAACAATAAACTTGGCATGTAAATAAAAACTTGATGTCAATTTAATACAGCGTTGCTATAATTCATGCACTCTTGCTCAGATTTAATACTATGCTGTATTATTTGTATTACTTACTCACTTTATAAGACTAACTAAAGAATAACCACAACACATTCATTCATTCATTTATCCATTCATTCCAATTCCCATTTGCCCTATGCAGCATCCAGAGCCTATCCCAGCAACAACAGGTGCAAGACAGAGAACAGCCCAGAATGGGCCTCCAGCCCTTCGCAGGCCACTACACATATTTCCTTCTATGTTTTTGTCAGTTTACTCTGGAATCATAGCCTGCTGCATAAGAACAGGCCATCCCCATCCATGCAGCCAGTGCCTTATACTCCCATTGCAAGAGCACAAAAATCAGCAATGGTCAATATTTTAAAAATAGTTTATAGCAAGGACACAGACAAACAACAGATAAGTGCCAATGCAAATAACCGTGCAATAGTGCGTGTAGCCATACTAATCTGGTTTCAGTTTTAGGTGGTTTTCCAATTTCTAGTGCACACTTAATATGGATTGTGTGCAGTTTATACAATTTACTTTGAGCAAATACCAGTGTTACAACACCTGTATGATTATAGTACCACTGCAGTGACTAGTAAAATAATCAGAGGAATTTCATCCTGTGAATGAATTCACAAAATGTAATTATTTTTATTGAATTATTTAATGTACTAAGCAAGAAATCATCATTCACTGTTGTGCTGACTAATTGGTAACATTTATTCGGTGAGTGTAGCTTCACCCAGAGGCTCCTCATGGGAGTTTCCACATCCGTTTGTGCCAACCCAGGATATAAATAAGCAGAAGTCCTGGCACGTGAGATACTGTCATCCGTTATACAAAACCATGACACAGGAAACTTGTAAAAGAATAGCTTGCATTTTGAAAATGTAGAATTTTTTTTTGCTTACATTACAGAAATATACACTATATTGCCAAAAGTATTGGTGCACCTGCCTTTACACACACATGAACTTTAATGACATACATAGGCTGTAATATGGCGTTGGCCCACCTTCTGCAGCTATAACAGCTTCAACTCTTCTGGGAAGGGTGACCACAAGGTTTAGGAGTATGTTTATAGGAATTTTTGACCAGAACGTTTGTGAGGTTGGACACTGATGTTGGATGAGAAGGCCTGGCTCGCAGTCTCCACTCTAATTCATCCCAAAGGTGTTCTATCGGGTTAAAGTCAGGGCTCTGTGCAGGCCAGTCAAGTTCCTCCATACCAGACTCACTCATCCATGTCCTTATGGACCTTGCTTTGTGCACTGGTACACAGTCATGTTGGAACATGAAGGGACCATCCCCAAACTATCCTCACAAAGTTGGTAGTGTGAAATTGTCCAAAATGACTTCGAATGCTGCAGCATTAAGAGCTCCTTTCACTGGAACTACCCCTGAAAACCCCTGAAAAACAACACCACACCATAATCCCCCCTCCACCAAACTTTACACTTGGCACAATGCAGGCAGGTAAGTACCGTTCTCCTGGCAACTGCCAAACCCAGACTCGTGCATAGGATTGACAGACAGAAAAGCGTGATTTGTCACTTCAGAGAACATATCTCCACTGCTCTAGAGTCCAGTGGTGGTGTGCTTTACACCACTGCATCCAACGCTTTACATTGCATTTGGCATTGGGCTTGGATGCAGCTGCTTGGCCATGGAAACTCATTCCATGAAGTTCTCTACACACTGTTCTTGAGCTAATCTGAAGGCCACACAGAGTTTGGAGGTCTGTAGCTATTGACTCTGCAGACAGTTGGCGACTTCTGCACACTGTGCACCTCAGCATGCATTACCCGCTCTCTGTGATTTTACATGGCTACCACTGCGTGGCTGAGTTGCTGTTGTTCCCAATTGCTTCCACTTTGTTATAATGCCAGTAACAGTTGACCGTGGAATATTTAGTAGTAAGGAAATTTCACGAATAATAATAATAATAATAATAATAATCAATTTAAATGTCTTGTTTACTTATAAAAATAATATGACTTGTTATACCTTTGTAAGAAGGCAAGTTACAATGTAATGCAATGCACAACATAAATAAATATTGTACATGATGGTTGTTATCTCCTTCAATGAATGAAAATGGAACACAAAATGCATTTGCTGAGTAGAATGCAGATGCCTATTCTAATAAGATTTTACTATGCACTATTTAAATCAATGGTTAATGAATCAATTGCCTAGTTCTACTTCCAGTCTCCTAGTGACAGAACACTTCAGCCAAGGCTATCTTTCAGTAAAGATGGAGCTGTGTAACTCCATGTATGATGAAGGTATAGTTATTCATCCTTTTCCTCAGTGCTGTGCACAACTATACTTTGCCTGAAATCTGAATATGAATTCATATTAATTTTGCTTAAGTGTGTGTGGTCTGCTGTCATATGATAATATAAATGCGGATAGATTCCACATAAATCAGTAGAAACTGCACCATCAGCCTTGGTCCAATGTGATGTCATCATCGCTAGAATTTTGACACTTTCTAGACTTTCTTTCAGTTGAAGTTCTGAAGATGGTTTCTTAGGTCACTTCTTTGGTTGCCAGTAGTTTTACTTGACATTGTATTTTCCACCCAGGTAACTTTTGTTATGTGGTTACGGATGATGGATGATCACAAGATCAATTAATATAAGGTGGAAATACTCTAAATGCATATGGAAATGGGACGGGGTTCATTCGAGACAACAAACCTGGTGCATGCAATAAGCCAAAACACAGAGACAGGGGAAAACAAACAACGAAGATGGGAAAGGGGTCAGGCAGGTGAACAATTAGATTGTGGGTGGTAGAGTGTACATTAGAGTCTGTATATTAATGCTTGGCACAAGGTAAACAAGGA